GGCCATATTGGAGCCATGTGAGCTTATGTTAAGCTAAGAATGGCGTGTTTCTTTTAAGAGCTCCAATTTTGAAGGTGTTACGCGCTTGAAATTTGCTGCAGTACGGTATCGATTCCCCCTCGGTCTGGGTTTTCCTGGGTGAGCTAAGTAGCCAGTCAGAAAAATCGATAGAGCGAGACATGTTGCTTAAAAGACTAGAGGTACTTAGCTGACCAACAGAGTTCCAGGGAGGCGGCCACTGGAGAACTCCAATTTTGAAGGTGTTACGCGCAGTCGTGATGCTTTCGGGGTTACTGCAACTGGAGGACTCCAATTTTGAAGGTGATCTGCGCAGGAAGTTTAATGCTCTCAGTCGTGATGCTTACGGGCTTGCTCCAACAGAGGAACTCCAATTTTGAAGGTGTTGTGTGCAGGAAATTTGCTGCAGTAGGGCATCGATTCCCCTCAGTCCGGCTTCTCGCCAGTCAAACGAATAGATGGAGAAAGATATATTACTCGAGGGACTGAGGACACGTAAGCCACCAGCAGAGTTTCAGGATGTCTGCCTCATTTTTTTGGTGCAGTTAGGGCTACGCTACAACTGGAGGATTTCAATGTTGCAGGTCTTACACGCAGGCAATGTGTTATTTTCATTATGAAAGCTGGCTTTCGTTCCCCCCTTCTCAGGTATGTATATATATATATTTGTTGCAGTCAAGTGATGTAGTCGCATCAGTTTTGCTGCTGGAAACCCTTTTTCCTGCCTCTGTGTGGCTGTGTCTCTTTGATTACGCTTGGACCTCGTTTGGTGACAAGTGGGCCTTTCCTACAATCCACAGCCACCAGCGGGTGCAGTGCATGCTGACGTTACTTGTGCTTGGGTTCTGCAAGCGCTCCATTGCGTGTTTCTCCTTTCCACCTGACCTGGTCCGCCCGCTTGCGTGCCTTCCGGCCTGTTTGCCTGGCCTGCCTCTGCATGCCTCATTGCCCTCCTCCTTGCATCCTGACTTGCTTGCCAGCTTGGGTGTGCCAATGGGTAATGCTTCTTCCAGAGCGCGCGCCGTGCGCCTAACTTTTTTGAATGTCTTCTTCAAAACGCGGTGTGTCTTGCAAGAAGACACGGTGTGAAACCCGTGGCTTGGGAACCCCGCTCTTGACCAAGCGCTGGGACAGAAACGCTCAGATGGGTCAAAACTATCAAGATAGCGTAGGGGGTTCAAACTCGTTCCTTGCAGCGGTGAGCACCTTTTGATAGAATGTTGCTACTTGTCTACAACTCCACAGGCCCTCCAAGTTTTCTGCCATTTGTCCTGCTGTTCAGCTTCTTCAGGACACGGCGTTGTTTCTCGAGTGACGATCGATAAGGGGCCCCGGCAGGAGTACTTTGCAGGTGATGAAATCCAAATTTTCGCCCAAAATTCGGACAAAGATGTGGACGCTGAGCGCGCAGCAATTGCTGCCTCAATCAGTTTTCTAAGATTTTAAATTGTTTCAATAGATTTCGCTGCTTCCTGGCACATGTGGTCCGCATTAATCAAATGATTCTATAATGCATGGGCCTGCGCCATCTATGGGAATTGCTTCAGCTGCCATCTCCCTGTTGCAACTACAACTGCATGATGTGCTTATCATATCCTTCCATTTCTTGGGTTGGAAGTTGATGCAAGGAGCTGCGGTATGGTTGGAATTTGCATACCTCATTTCATCCCCGCCGTTGATGCTTCCATGTAAAGAAATATATGAAATGAGGCGGTCAAATCATTTCATCCAAGAAACCTGCAGATGATTTGTGGACCTTTTGGCCCTGTGCCAAGGAAATTTTTGCAAAGCACTTCGATGCTTTACCGAAAAATTTGGACAACCAATTCTTGTTGTCAGGGCTGCTTGGCCTTGGTCTCGTCCAAATATCAACACCTTGCGGTGATGGAAGTTTTTCAGGAATGTCCAGTGTGGTTGGGCGCTGTGTTCGTAGAGCAAGACGAATTTGGAAGACTTTCGGGTTTTCAATTTTAGAGCAACACCCCTGCATACCCATGTTTCCACTCGCTAGCGAACTTCCGAAAGGTTCTTGGCAAAATTGAAATCTGAACCTGGAAAGCTGGCGAAGCTGAGCTGCCATGGCTGTTGATTTGTCAGGTCGGAGAGCGACTTGCCCCTGCCCAACACTCACAGATACATTCTGAAGCGCTACATTGCCTTGCATGATGAGCTGATGTTTAGTGAGATTCAAGTTCTTGCGTGCCTGAGCGATGATGCAAACCTCAAGCGCTTGGTTTTGGATTACGATGCCTTCAACACCTTCCAAATCCACCGCCATGTGCGATGGCTGGACATGTTCAATGAGTTTCCTGCTTTGTGGGGCCGGATTTCTGTGGAAATCCTTTATCAAGTTGCGCCTCGCATTCGGCCTCGCTATTATTCGATTTCATCGGCGCCACACTCCTCACCAAATCTTGTGGTGCCTTGGAGCGAGCATGAAATTTTGCAAGAGTTTTTCATGGCTTGTCTTACTGAAGGATGAAGGAAACCAGTTGCATCCATGCTAGCCTTGCGCAGGTACTTCAGCCGCTTCGCGGCAACAACCGCCCGCGCCAGGGTTTTTTTGTTCAAGGTAGAAAGGTGGGCTCATTTAGACAGATTGAACCACAAAAAATCTTGGTTGCAACGTTTTGTTTTCAACTTTGTGAACCCATTCTAGTATAGTGCAAATTTTCATTGGTCAAGTCTGGATAAAAGATGCCCTAGATGTGCTAGATATTTTAAATACAGCTTTGCAAAGCTCCGGGGTGCTCTGCAAAAGCCTGTTGCGCGGCTGTGTTTGGCCTCTATTGCGCTCATTGGTTGGTTTTGGGGCAATGTTTAGCATGTGTTGGAAGTTAAGTTGAAGCTATCCTGAGCTATTTTTGCCCACCTTGGATTGATGTCAGGTCGATGCTGGGCCCAGTTTGATTCCATGTAGCCCAACGAGATCTGTATGATGCTGTCTTTGCCTTGCAGACAAAAACGCGACTCTTGCATTCTTCCCCAAAAGCTCCTGCGAAAAGTTTTTCCCGAGAGCGTCTGAGCGCAGGGTTCTTCCAATAGTGGGGGTCTGTCTCTCATCTTCACACCTTCTCATCTTCACATCTTCTCATCTTCACATCTTCTCACTTCACATCATCTCATCTTCACATCTTCTCATCTTCACAGCTGTTCATCTTCACAGCTGTTCATCTTCGCATCTTCTCATATTCACATATTCACATCTGCTCATCTTCACATCTTCTCATCCTCACATCTTCACATCTTCATCACATCTTCACATCTTCACATCCTCACATCTTCACCCTTCTCATCTTCACATCTTCTCATCTTCACATCTTCTCACTTCACATCTTCTCATCTTCACATCTTCTCATCTTCACATCTTCTCATCTTCACATCTTCTCATCTTCACATCTGCACATCTTCACATCTGCACATCTTCACATCTTCTCATCTTCACATCTTCTCATCTTCACAGCTGCTCATATTCACATCTTCTCATGATCCTCACATCTTCACATCTTCTCCTGTTGCCCTCTTGCCCTCTTGCCCTCTTGCTCTCTCCTTCTTTTCTATTTCTCTTCTGAAGGCGGGGGCAGGGGCAGTGCCAACGAGACGGCACGAAACGCAACCCTCTCGCACGAAACGCAACCCTTTCGCACGAAACGAGGTTCGATCGCCCAAAACTGAGGTAAAATTGCGATTTCAACTTGTCCGGCGCAACCCTTTCGCACGAAACGATGTTCGATCGCCAAAAACTGCGGTAAAATTGCGATTTGAAGGTGTCCCGCGCAACCCTTTCGCACGAAACGAGGTTCGATCGCCAAAAACTGCGGTAAAATTGAGATTTGAAGGTGTCCGGCGCAACCTTTTTGCACGAAACGAGGTTCGATCGTCAAAAACTGAGGTAAAAGTGCGAGTTGCAAGGTGTCCCGCGCAACCCTTACGCACGAAGCGAGGTTCGATCGTCAAAAACTGAGGTAAAAGTGCGAGTTCAAGTCGTCCCGCGCAACCGTTTCGCACGAAACGAGGTTCGATCGCCAAAAACTGAAGTAAAATTGCGATTTCCGGGTTCCCGTTGCAACCTTTTCGCACGAGATGAGGGTCGATCGCCAAAAAGTGAGGTAAAATTGCGATTTGTTCTGTGTACAAAGCTTCTGTGTGCTGTGTGTGAAAGCTTCTGTGTGTAAAAGCATCTGTGTAAAAGTGTCTGTGCAAAAGCGTCTGCTTAAAAGCTTCTGTGTGCTCTGTGTAAAAGTTTCTGTGTGTAAAGGTGTTTGTGTGTAAAAGCTTCTGTGTGTAAAAGCGTTTGCGTAAAAAGCGTCTGTGTAAAAGCTTCTGTGTGTAAAAGCGTCTGTGTGTAAAAGCGTCTGCGTGTAAAAGTGTTTGTGTGTAAAAGTATCTGTGTGTAAAAGCGTCTGTGTGTAAAAGCGTCTGTGTGTAAAAGCGTCTGTGTGTAAAAGCGTCTGTGGGTAAAAGTGTCGGTGTGTAAAAGTGTCTGTGTGTAAATCTGTCTGTGTGTAAAAAGCGCCTGTGTGTAAAAGTGTCTGTGTGTAAAAGTGTCTGTATGTAAAAGTGTCTGTGTGAAAAAGCGTCTGTGTGTAAAAGCCTCTGTGTGTAAAAGCGTCTGTGTGTAAAAGCTTCTGTGTGTAAAAGCTTCTGTGTGTAAAAGCTTTTGTGGGTAAAAGCGTCTGTGTAAAAGCTTCTGTGTGTAAAAGCTTCTGTGTGTAAAAGCGTCTGTGTGTAAAAGCTTCTGTGTGTAAAAGCGTCTGTGTGTAAAAGCTTCTGTGTGTAAAAGCTTTTGTTTGTAAAAGCGTCTGTGTAAAAGCGTCTGCGTGAAAGCTTCTGTGTGTAAAAGCGTCTGTGTGTAAAACTGTCTGTGTGAAAAAGCGCCTGTGTGTAAAGGAGTCTGTGTGTAAAAGCCTATGTGTGTAAAAGCGTCTGTGTGTAAAAATGTCTGTGCGCAAAAGCTTCCGTACGTAAAAGTGTCTGTGTCTAAAAGCATCTGTGTGTAAAAGCGTCTCTCTGTAAAAAGTTCAGTGTGTGAAAAGCTATACAAAAGATACAATGCAAACTGCTGTCTTGTACTTGTGCTATATTGTCTTGATACTCCTGTTCTCGACTGCCTATAACACATCTTTAATATATTGTTTTGTAATATGGTGTCTCCATACTAACAAGAGAAGACTCTGCTCCTCTACGCTCTCGGGCCATCCGTCGTCTAGTTTTTGAAAGAATTTCTGCCAAGCTCAACTGTTCACTTCATCTAAGAAACATCTCCTACTTCCTTAACTTTATCTACATAACCTACATCCACTCAATCGACACAACATACATCAACTACATCTCTTACATCTCTCCTATATCCTTCACATCACCTACATCGTCTACATGAACTTCATCTACATCACTTACATCATCTACATCAACTTCATCTATGTCGCATACATCATCAAAACATCATCAACACCATATTCATTAATTTCATCATCACATCAATTTCACCTACATCACATACATACATCTCATGCATCATCTACAATACATACATCACATACATCCTCTACAGAAGTTCTTCCACAGGAGTTGCGGCGCATTCTTACACAGGATTTGCGACATAGAAGTTCTAATACAGCAGCCGTTATACAGGAGTTATTACACAGGAGTTGTGGAGTCGTTACACAGGAGCTCACTTCTAGGTGATCTACTTGCATCTGAACTCCTACAAGATAAAACTCCTACTTCTCAAGTTCTTCTAAAGCAGGGGCGGCCAGGCGGTGGCTTACGAAACGCACCCTCTGCGAGGATCGCGCGCGTCGGACGCGCAAACATGTGGTGAAATGCATTCTTGTCTTGGTCGCGAGCAACCTTCTGCGGTGACAGTCTTGGGAGATCGATCTGTCATGACCTGGGGTATGGACCAGATGCTGCCGTTCTCTAGACGGCCCTGTGATCACCTGCACAGGGCTGCTTGGAGGAAGGTGGAGATGCATCCACGGTGCGAAGTCCGTTAAAAAGCGCAGCGCAGATTGAAGGCAATGGATACGCATTCGCAGCTTGCTTGGTAGATGGCTCTGTCGCAACCTGGGGCGAGCAAATCAGCGGAGGGGACAGCTCGTATGTGCAGCACCTGATTCATAGAAGCCATGTACAGTACATATACATACATATACAGCCTTCGCGGCCTTGCTACCGAATGGTTCTGTCATGACGTGGGGTAATGCGTCATCTGGCCTTCTGGTGGTGACAGTTCTGGTGTATTCTGGTGTTCGACATCAACTTCTAAACGTCCATGCAGTGGTTATATTCGACCGGCTTCGCGTTCGCAGCCATGTTGCCCAACAGTCGCATCGCGACCTGGGGTGAGCCCAGCTTTGTCTGTGCAAGAATGCAGTTCATTCTCGTAGAACATCTGGATGCCCATTGCCGGAAACTACCATGCTGCAATCGTTCACCGACACCGATTGTGCGACCGAGGCTATTGTTCGAAGCACAGTCCATTGCTTCTTCTCTGCGGCAAGACTTGGAGAGACGGCAGTGTAACATGGACATGCGGTTTCTAAAATTCACTAACGGATCTGCTTCGGTTTCAGTTTCCGATTTCGCAGCTAATGTGCGACATGTCTTGCTTCTTGACACATTCCAGGCGTCGCCACTGGTCACAAGAAAACCTTACTTGTCTTTTTTTGATCTCTTGAACGGTTGAAGATGACTACTACCGCTGAGTTGAATTCTTTCATCTTGCGTTCTAAAAACTAGACGACGGTTGGCCCGAGAGCGAAAAAGATGTTTTTCAAGCAGCTCTGAGGATGGTAGTCGTAAAAGATAGTCGGTGAATAGTTGGTGAATTTTATATGAGCTATGGAAAGATATGGTGTGAAAAAGTAAGATTGATCAAGAAGAGAATATTTGGTAAAGGGCATCAGATGACATGTGTCTTGCAACCACAGAGAGAAAGAGGGGGCAGAGATAAAGAGAGACAGAGAGAGAGAAAGAGAGAGAGAGAGAGAAAGAGAAAGCAAGAGAGAGAGAGAGAGAGAGAATGAAAGGGCGAGGTAGAAAGAAAACATGGAGAAATGTAATGTGAGCAACAAAAGTGCACAGGAGGCTCGGTACCATGAGTCTGCGAATGACATGTGCTATCTCATTTTATTATGGTAATTCCCACACACATTGCGGAAAAAGGCTCGGCACCATCATTCCGTGAACGCGAAGAAACGCGACGCTTTTATACAGAGACGCTTTTACACACAGAATCTTTTACACAAACACTTTTACACACAGACTCTTTCACACAGAGACGTTTTTCATGCACACACACAGACGCATTTCCATACAGAGACTTTTACACGAAAACACTTTAACACACAGACGCTTTTATACACAGACTCTTTTACACACATACGCTTTTACATGCAGATGCCTTTTTACAGACGCACACACACTTTCACACACAAACGCTTTTACACACAGACGCTTTTGCACACAGACACAGAC